TTCAGGGAATTACAATATAGAAGATCACCTCTATTCGTAAGGTAGTATGTCGTACCAATGTGTGTAATGAAATAATTGTGTAATTTATTCTGCAGTACGAATGATGTTTACTAGTTTGCACCATAAACCAAGTACATTTGGAAAGTCATTCTGCTGTTGCAAGAAATTGTGGCTGGAGCGCTGATCTAAAATATTCATACTTAAAGAGGAATCAGATAGGTACTAACTTAGCTCCAATGTGGTACAACGTAAAAGTTGGATTAGCTCATCTCATTTTTCGATAAGCAACGGATAGCCACCGTTGCTACCCCCAGTAGGCACGTCATCCACATAAAAATCTTAAAGTATCACCATCCCGGCGGTAGGTAATGTCACGGTACACGGACAGATAAAAATGTTGCACAATGTATTGATGTTCGCTTCATAAAACACGTTGATGATAGCGATGGTTATCTACGACACAAATCAGTCGACATATTTTAACAATATTAGTAGAGAAGACGTATTATAGAAGCGAAAGAGAAGATACATTTTAAATAATCGCGGTAAATGTAACTTTTTTTAAGGGAAACTTTTTCTTCATCTTAGAAAGATTAATTTCTTTTTGACTTAACTCACGTATGCTCGCAAACTTTTATATTGCCATATAAAATCGAGGATGCTCAAACGTTTTGCAACTACAGCAAATCACAACAATGCCTCCTGCAATGTGTTAGCAAATCCTGCTGCTTAAGTGGTGGTTATATGATGTTTTCGCCGTCATCATAACGGCTATATGTTTTTTTAAAAAGATATTCTGTTAGAATGACTGAATTAGTTTGCAATCGTTACGATATCACTTGCTTGCGTAGATATTGAAGGAGCTTTTAACAATATTCTTCCCTGTGCAATAGCAAGCGCAGTATTGCGTCTGGGTGTTGAGGATGCGCTCACCAGCTTTATCGGCCAATTATTAACTGGCAGAATTATTGAAGCACAAATGGGTGTATCAGCCCATTACACCCAGACGGGTAAATAGAGGTACCCCCCAAGGGGGCGTACTCTCTCCCCTACTCTAGAACACAGCGGTGACTAAACTGCTACAAAAACTGAGGAAAGCTGGCTGGGGGACAGTTGCATATGCGGATTACATTGCGTTAACAGTTACTGGAAAATATGCTACTACTTTAAGAGATATTTTGCAGTATGGCCTGAATATCCTTAACATTTGGACACTGAAATGTGGTCTCGGGGTTAACCCCAGAAAAAGAGATATCGTAGTATTACTAGAAAACATAGGGTCTCAAATCTTTCTCCACTCTATATTAAAGGTTCTGCGATACAAATTACTCGTAAAGCAAAATTTTTAAGCATTGTTTTTGATAGAAAACTGAGCTGGAAAGAAAATATTTCAAGGCGAGCTAGGAAAGCAAACATTGCATTGCTTTTTCGTCAAAAATCTATTGGTAAAAAGTAGGGATTGCAACCACGTATCGCTCAATGGCTATACACGGCTGTCCTTAGAGCAATACTTCTATATAGCATAACCATATGGTGATAACCCTTGATAAATCTTCGTACTGTCAAGCTGCTTTAAACTCCTTGAGTTCAGTCCAATTCACATCTAGGACGGTCTTTGACTGCTACACATCTCTAAATGAGATACTGGTTATAGGGATATTTTCGGCAATAGCAAAGTAGATGAGCTAACCAGACGGGGTGCTTCAGGGAACCAGTCGGAACACCTAAACAATCTGGGCATATCGTTGACATCATGCAAATTGGTATTGAGTTCTTCCTGTGCCGAACTGTTTAACAAAAGATGGGAAGACTCTGCGATATGCAGGCATCTGTATGCAATGTGGCTACAAACCAACATTAGAAAACCAAAACTCTATTAGAGTTGCCGCGTGGAGATATCAGTCTTGTAGTATGTTTACTAACAGATAGATAATCATACTAGGAGACTGAATTTCCCTTTCAACTATTTTTGCCGCAGTTGTGGTGAGGATGACGAAAATTCCTCCCACCTGCTTTGTTTCTGTCTAGCACATGCGCGGTGTCGCCTTTAATTTTTGGGGGCTTTCTTTTTTTGAGGAACTTGGCGAACTTCGAGACCTCCCTCTATATAGCATCATAAGCTTTGCCAAAGGTTCTAAATACCGGTTCTGGATCCCCCTGGGATCGCGGGTATTACCTCACCTAACCTAACCTAAAGATATCACTACAATTTTTCCTGGAGTCCTTGAGGAACGTTCAATTTTTGTTGATGCGACTAGTGCAGATTGACATGCACATTGCTCGAAAAATGAAACAGTTGTAATAATGTACCCGAAATGCAAAGATACAGAAATGATGACCCGACTTTAGTCAAATAGCCTTTGGCATGACATAGGAAAGATAAGTAATGATGATACTACATATCAGGCATTACCGTGTACAGTTTCGTGTACCCTTGTCAAGTCCTGACGATTTATATCGGTTCAAATTTCGACATGAGAGTCGGCGTATTTGTGCCTCGACATTAAAGCAAAGCAGTGTTGTATGGTAATAAATTTTAGAATTTGCAACTTTTAGGACAATTTTATTACGTTTTGGAGAAAAAGTGGCAGTAAGCAACATAACCTATTTTATAAACCGCTAATAATCTAACTAACACAATTTTCGATTTTAAAGAAAGGCATATAAGTTTGTGAGTGCTGTTAACAATTATAATTGAGTTTCTCTTCATATAACTGGTGGGAGCAACCTATTATATTTTGATTTTGGTTTTTGCATTAATGTTGTATATTATTAATATAACATATAACATGTATATGTATGCATATACATATACTGTCAATTATTTTTACGTCAAAGTTTTTGAAAAAAATAATTTAATAAGTAATTAACATTTAATCTAGTTAAATTAAAAAAATCCGAGAACCAGAATTACGACTATGCGTAATCAAGCTGGAATTAAATTATGAATTCACAATTGTACAATTGTAGCGAAATAGCAAATAATTTTTATAAACTAAAGCATAATAAAACAAAACTTTACTGCAACGTTTAGTAGTACAAATGGAATTACAGAGTTAATGCATGCTGTGTGAACATGTTTTTAGAAAAGCTTGCCAATTAAGCAATATTGCAATCAAAATTACAATTACTTAAGCTGTGTGAAGAGGCTACAGTCTGCTTTTTTCAGAAAGAATTTAGTAATTTTAACGGATTTTTTGCTTGGAAACTACTCGGAGTAATTTTATATTATTACCCACTAAAAATAATTTTACAAACATATGTTAAAAGTATCACTTTATGAATTGTCAATTGTATATTTTGTACGAACGCAGCACGTAGTGAAGCAGCTGAGCGTCAAAAAATTCCCATTATTTTTGACTTTTCTCCGCTATACAACATCTTAGAAGTTTTTACATAATATTCTTCTCGTAAAGGCAGCAAAAAGTGAGGTGCAAACTGATAAAAACCATTCGTATTTGTGGTGATAGATTTTTATTCGTATAAATATTTATTGTAGAATATTAAACATGTGGACACAAGTTGCACGCAACTGCTGTCGCGTCAGTGTTGTCGCAAATGTTAAAAGAGGAATCGCTCTTGCTGCTAAAACTCAACCACGATTAGCTCTAGTTCAAAGGAATGCTGCGGTGACAATAAATCAAGTAAGTAATTTTGTAACAAGAATATCAAACCGACAGTATTTTCCTACCGACATATCATGTTTGCTGTTAACCTCACTTTTAATACGCAATGCTCTAAGAGAGACCCGGAAAGATCAACAAGAAATTTGCATTTCTATTAACTCCTCGCTGAGTGCCAAAGATGTAGAAATTTTAGGGACCAACTGTTGGTGTAACAAAATTAGTTCGTTATATAAAAATTTCAACGATTATAAACTTTCCAAAACAAAAAATTAGCTTTTAACTAGTTATATATGATATATTAATTATTTCACACAGCATTAGCTTTTCCGCTGCCAGTTTTTTATATTAACTTTGTTTTAAGATTAATTTGCTTAAGGTATGTTACTGCACATCCGGTAAACGTTCAATGGAGGAAATTCGTGACCGTGTATTAAAAGTTGTCTCCAGCTACGACAAAGTCACTGCCGATAAGGTAAAGTTTGAACGAAGTATTGATTCCTTTTTTTGTTTTGTTTTCGGTTCGTAAGGATAAAAACATCTGGCGTTGCCAAACAGTTCGTAATTATTCTGCAAAGCCTCCACTGTCCTTGAAATTGATCAACGAAAGAGTGTTACTTGTGTTGAAACTCTATGATAAAATTGATCCAAGCAAGGTAAAACTATTAATTCTAACATTAATTATTGATTAATTTGATTTGCAATATAAAATTAACATTTACACAATTGCCAGATATTTTTAATATTTAAACCGAAAACAAAGCGAGAACTATTTTTAACATCTAATGACGAATTTAATAATCTTTATAGTTGAGTGTGGACTCTCATTTCATAAATGACCTAGGGCTGGACTCTTTGGATCATGTGGAGGTTATAATGGCGATGGAAGATGAATTCGGCTTTGAAATTCCAGACTCCGATGCTGAAAAATTACTGAAACCTTGTGACATCATTAGATACGTGGCCGATAAGGAGGACATTTACGAATAAAAAACAAATATAATTTGAGATTTGGAAATGTAAAAGAAAATTTAATTTTATTGTTAAACCAAAAAAAGATTTAAACAATAAACATATTCTACATACTAAAACTAAAATTAATATTGTATATTTCCATATGTCCAATTTATCTCCACCTCCGTTTACGGAATTTAAACTTTTCGTAAGTTAAACAAAATTTAATTAAAATTGAAGTTATGTTCCAAGACTACGATCATAGTCAAGTCATTTAAAAGGCTGTGATCTTTATAATGAAATAGATCTATCAAATATAATTTCAAATTCCATGCAACAAATACATATTGATTTTATTTTTAATTCTACTTCCAGGACTTGCTAGATATATATACACATTTAAAAATAGAATTCTTGAGACTATATTTAGTATAGATTTTCTAATGCAGTTATGTTAACGTACGATGGGGAGCGACTCAGTATATTGGGTTTTGAACAAGAAATATAGAAAATAGCTTTGCAAGGAACAAATCTCAAAATGCAATTTCAATATTTTTGAAGGTTCAAGACCTCATTATTCTGACAACTTTTGCACTTGTATTTGTTGGCTTTTAATTTTAAATTAAATGCAAATGTTTCCAAAAACAGTATAGATAAATAGAACGTTCTAACTTTAGATTTAATAATCAATAATTACTTCGTTTTTTCACTTTTAATATAATTGACAGAATATTGGAAAAATCGTTGGTGGAAAAAGGTTCAAGAATGTATGAAGCACAACTCTCCATTGCCCATTCAAGCTGCATTATTAATTGCACTAATTGACATTTATTCGAATAAATGTGTTAAATAAAACTCGAATGCTAATAAATGTCATGAAATTTCTTATAGTAAAAATTATTACCATAAAAGTGAAAGGTTTTATTTTTTGTTACGCTAAGAGTATACTGTGTAATAATTAAAGAAACACAAATTTGGGGTAATACTCTTATTATTAAATCACATTGTACATTATAGTTATGAGAAACAAAAACTAAATTATATGTTTCGTTAATTGCAATAAATCAATGCCAGCTTGAACGAACTATTATTCAAAGAGATAAAATAAAAATGGTCAGAGGTATCCACTGCTCTATTAAAAACATAGTTTGTAATAGCGCTGTAAGACTAAAAGTAACAGGCGTATGGTTGGAACGAACATATGGACATAGTCGGATTCTAGGTACAGTTCCAAATTGTCTGTATAGGATGACATCAGATTATCTGAATCCGTGTATAGACTTCGAAAGGAATTTTCAGACAATATTCCCTTCAAGAAATGAGTGGAAAAGGAAAAATTTCGAAGCAAATTACGATATCTCAATATATACAGATGGTTCGAACATTAGCGGTGGGGCAGGAGCAGGAATCTTCGCACCATCTAAAAATATAAATAACTCTCTTAGGCTACCTAATGAGGCTACGGTTTTTCAGGCTGAAATCCTAGCAATAAAAGAAGCCTGTCGGCAAATTGCAAGCCACATCGAGAACAGATATAGTGTTGCTATTTTTATTGACAGCCAGGCAGCAATTAAAGCTCTTGAATCCTTTATAACAAAATCAAAAATAGTAAAAGAATGTAGAGAAGCAATCGACGAGCTAAATCGGTTGGCCGATATCACACTCATCTGGGTTCCTGGGCATAGGAACATCGTGGGGAACGAGAAAGCTGATAGTTTAGCCCGCTCTGGTGCCTCCCTAGATGCGTCACTGGCGGTACCAGTTTATATTACCCTGGAGACCATCAAAAGAAGTACCTTCCTTTACTTTCTGCAACTCGCCAATAACAGATGGAAAGCACTAAAGTCATGTGCAACTTTCAGGTTAACGTGGCCCACCTATAATAAAAATAAATCCCTGGAACTGATCAAAAGAGATCGCGTAAACACTGCAAGGCTTATTGCAGTTCTTACTAGTCATTGGTGTATAGGAACTCACGCAGAGAAACTGCGTATTCCCTATAACTCTCACTGCAGAAGTTGTAGAAACCCGCAGGAGAAAGAAACAATAATACATTTTCTCTGTGAATGCCCAGCTCTAGCATCCAGAAGATATAGGTTCTTAGGAAAATACTTTTGTGATAGTTTATCAGACTGCTCAATGGTGAAGATGAAAGGCCTATTAAATTACCTAAATTCAGTGGGATGGATTTAGTCTCTACTCTTCTATACTAGGGTTCTTGCGAGGAATGTGATAACAAAACGGCGAAAAATCGCTAATTGAGGTACATTTGAAGTTATCTTATAGCCAGCCACTGCAACCAACCAACCAACCATCCACTGCTCTATTTAAATGGCTATTCTTTCTATCCTGATAAAACCATTTATTTTTATATATAATTTTTTGGGTTTCTTATATCCAGTTCAAAGTGCACCATTAATACATTAAAGCGAATGGTATTAAATGGAATATGTATAGCAATAAATGTCCAGCAAGTCAATGCAGATTTATCGCAATAATATATTTATTACCATTAAACGCTTTGTAAATGCATAATATATATAAAATATAGAAGAGTAAAGAGCATACAAGTGCAATTTCCAAATAAATTTAAGAATTTGTTATATTAAAAGAATATAACAAATTCTTAGTTTTAGCTATAGTTCAATTTTAAAATCTGAAGGGACGAGCATGAAATCTTACTAATGAATATTATTAAATACGTGGTTTTTTTACATTGGGTAAAGCCTTCTAAGAACAGTATAGAAATTGATTAAAGTAACAGTCTTCGGACCCCCGTAATATTCAAATGTACCCTTTCATATTCAACAATATGTGATTTTAACATTCTCTAAAAGAGACATCGATTTTCACTCCAGTTTTGAAGTTCTTTAAAAAGTTTGATATCTCTTCTAGAGAATGTTAAAAGCACATACATATTGTTGAATATGAGAGCGTACATCTGAATATAACATTTGCTTTTCTTCGTGATATCCAAACATTTAACATTAGCATTTAAGTACATTTTTTTGATATAAATCAAATTAAAATAAAAAGAACATGACATTACATGTTGACGATGAAATAAAAATGATCTGGCACATACTATTTTTGGTTTTTATAATAGAGAGAAAGACACATAACTCAAATATTAAAAATTTTATTATAATTTCTTGTATTTTAAAAAAATTTTAAAATGTTGTGTGTATACATGGGCGTACCCAGGGCCGAAATTAGGGGGGACGCTGATATACTTATATGATACTATTATATATTATTAAGTGTGCTAAGACGCCCCTCTTTAGTACTTTTTTCTTTTTGGCTTATATTAGCTATATAAACCAAACAGTTAACAGAAAATAAAGATTTTCTTTTATCTCTTATTTTTGATCAACTTGTATTTTATCTCTTTAAATTTTTATTGAAAACAATAATAACATTTTGAAATCTAGGGGGAGGCCGAGCGCCCTTTCGCATTTCTTTGAATTGTGTCTAATTATGAGACATTCTGAACATAATGTAAATTATGTAAAGGAAATAATAAAGTATTCAGAAACAAAAAGAAGATATGTTTATATCAGTTGTCAAAATATATATTAATTTTTGAAATTCTAATTTTTAGATAAGAATATCATAACTATTTTTAATATCATTCTTACATTTTTTTCTCAGTTTTTGGAATTTTTATCGTATTGCAATACTTTTACCAGAATAGTACTGAAACAGGTATATTTATGATATACTGGGAAATTATTAAATTTTGCTTGGCGGCTCATATTAAACTGTTTTTCTTTTTTAGCATTTTATATTAAAATTCTGTTATCGTTTTGAACTTTTCATTCATTTAGTTTATCACAAAATGAATCTAATTGATGAAATGATGAAAGATTTAGGTAATGCTATTATATGAAGTAAAGTGGCAAATAATTTAAACATATTTATCTGCAGAAGTTGGATCTCATGCAATGAAGTCCCAAATGAACTCTATTTCGGAAATAATGGATAAATCAAATAAAATTTTACTAAAAATGAAGACTGTGCGTTCAGGAAAAAACAACTCAAATAAACAACGCAGCAATCTGGTTAAGGTAGAATTTACAGCAGCCAGCATGTTGGCTCTCGCAAAAATTATTAGGTTTTCCAAGCAATGCGCCGCGTTAACTAATGAAAATGGAGTAAGTTTTGAGGAATACCTAAAGTGCCAAAAAGAAAGACTTGATTTTTTGGGCGGTGCCGTGAGAGAATTGTTGGCGATTGGTGAAGCCACAACTTTTATGAAAGCCAATTTGGTATCAATCGCTAACACTTGTTATGATGAAAATAGCAATGATGACAGTCTAACAAGCGAATAAAATGATTACATTAAGTAAAAACCTTTTTTGTACTAAAATCCAATTGGATTAAGCATATTTATTTTAATTAATTAGTTTAATTCAGACAATTAATAGAGTTTAATGAATGCGTTAACAAATCAACGATATTATCTAAACGTGCCACATTATTTTGTGGAGTAATTTCGAATAACTGTTGATTGCTTTGTATAAATGCAAGATCCTCTGCTCTCTGTGCTAGGTGACACAAGTTGGCAACCTCATTCGAATCGAAAGCAACTTCTGTTGACATATCTGTAGGCACAAGCTTTTCCAGCTCTGAGGCAAAGCATGTAAGTTGCCGAAGTTTGGCTGCATATTGGGTAGTGATGTCTTGCTGTTTTATTTCATTGCAAAGTATTTTCAGGTTTTGACGAAATTTTCTAAAATCGGTAAGAGCCTTTGTTGCAGAAGCATACTCTTTTGACATCGTAGTATCACCATTTCTTACAATTGTAATGTCGCTCATGTTTTCTGAGAAACTTCTAAGATCAGTGGTATTATCTCTACTAACATCTTTATGTAATTTCTTTTTCGGTTTCTGCAAATTTACGGGATACTCATCAAAACTTTTAAATGCATTTGCAAATGTTTGAATGCTTATATCTGCTTTCCCGGATGCGAGCTGCGACTCAATTTCCTTAACTTCACTTTCGTAAGTATTGTAAAAATCTGTCATTGGCAAGATGGATTCTGCCATACACAGCTTCTTAACGCATTCTTCGTGTTCATCCAAATGTTGATACATTATTGCTGATAATTTACTAAACTCTTCATTTGAAGCCATCTTCACGAAAAATATTAAACTTTTCATACACTCCGCTATTTGCGCTAAAAATAACAGGAATTCAAAAGTTGGTAAATTATGTACATTACAAGACAAAAAAAGTGCACATAAAATTTGCTAATGAAAATGTCTCATTAATATGGATGTCACAATCATAGTACGTTTTGTTTATTATATTAATACATTTTTGTATATAATTTAAAATATATTTACAAATTATTATCATATTTGATATAAAAGGCTTACGGAAATATAGAAAATAGTAATAATAGTTATTGAATTTCAGTTACGTCTCATAAGAATTATTGTAGAATGAAATAAAAGTCTGCACTTCCTAATATTGTTCTGCACTTATTTTCAGTTACATTTCATTAAATTTTATTAAATAGAATTCTTAAGTTCAACTTTTTTAAGTAATTCCTTTTTAAGTATTCGCTGTTCGTTAATATTTCCATGAAATTTATATTTAGTTTTGACGAAAAATTTAAACTTCGGTAATTGTGAAGTGGTACGTAGTATAACATACTTCTACTTTAAAAAGTTATTGTTTTAGGTTAGTTTAATTGTATTTTAGTTTAGTTTAATTAACAAATATAATAGGTCTGTTTCACGAACTACTCTTACGAGTAGTAAAACTGAAGTAAGACACAAATGAAATTTACACGAAAATTCTCTGGTGGAACGCACTTGCGGTATTTAACTGTGGTACTTAAAGTTACAACGAATAGCTCGTGAAACATACCTATTTTTAGTTAACCAATTCAAGAATTTGTTATTAACTTTTAAAAATTTAGCTTTAAACCATGGGAAAAAATATCAGTGAATCACATTGAACAATAAATTATATAAAAATGAAATTAAGATAATTTTATTAAATATTTATTAATCAGCTTCTTTTTTTTTAAATGTTGCAAAAATATTGATCAAGATCGAATTGTCAATTTTTTCATTCTCATACTTTTATTCGTTCTGTATTTGAGTACAACGCCATTTTGGCAATTTTTGCATATAGTGGGAAATTATAAGCTACCAATAGCCGCATGGTAAAATTTATATAGAGAACTTATGACACTTCACTGTGTTGGCTACTCTACTAGATAATTGACTGCTGTTTCGTAATCGTAAGTGCAGAGTGAAAAATTTTCAGAATTTTCCAGTGATTGTGTAAGATATTTTTTAAGTGATTTTAACTTTTGTTTTTCTTTTTTACAATTAAAGGGCGAGGACGCAGAAATAAATATTTGAATTTGGCTGCTTGCAAATAAATATAGAAAAAATGTTCTCTGCCGTTCGTTCTGCCGTAACAAGGTCGGACAAAGTTATATCACTACTTGCCCAGTCCCAACGTGAATATGCAAAGGCTGCAGCAAAAGCAGCAGCAGCAGGTAATGGCAGAGTTGTTGCCGTTATCGGTGCCGTCGTCGACGTCCAATTTGATGACCAATTGCCACCAATTTTGAATGCTTTGGAAGTCGATAACCGCACACCACGCCTAGTTCTGGAAGTTGCCCAGCATTTGGGTGAGAACACTGTACGTACTATTGCTATGGATGGTACCGAAGGTCTTGTGCGTGGTCAAAAAGTACTTGATACTGGTTATCCAATTAGGATTCCAGTTGGTGCAGAAACTTTAGGTCGCATCATCAACGTAATTGGTGAGCCTATTGATGAACGTGGTCCCATTCCAACCGATAAGACTGCTCCCATTCATGCTGAAGCTCCTGAATTCGTTGAAATGAGCGTCGAGCAGGAAATCTTAGTAACTGGCATAAAAGTCGTTGACTTGTTAGCTCCTTACGCAAAGGGTGGTAAAATTGGTCTTTTTGGCGGTGCTGGTGTAGGCAAGACCGTACTTATTATGGAACTTATTAACAATGTTGCTAAGGCTCATGGTGGTTATTCTGTATTTGCTGGTGTCGGAGAACGTACACGTGAGGGTAACGATTTATATAATGAAATGATTGAATCCGGTGTCATTTCACTTAAGGACAAGACCTCTAAGGTCGCGCTTGTATACGGTCAAATGAACGAACCCCCAGGTGCTCGTGCCCGTGTTGCTCTTACCGGTCTTACTGTTGCTGAATATTTCCGTGATCAAGAAGGTCAAGATGTATTACTTTTCATCGACAACATTTTCCGTTTCACTCAAGCCGGTTCCGAAGTGTCTGCATTGTTGGGTCGTATTCCTTCTGCTGTCGGTTACCAACCAACTTTGGCAACTGATATGGGTTCTATGCAGGAACGTATTACCACAACCAAGAAGGGCTCCATCACTTCCGTACAAGCTATTTATGTGCCAGCTGATGATTTGACTGATCCAGCTCCAGCTACAACATTCGCTCACTTGGATGCCACCACTGTATTGTCGCGTGCCATTGCCGAGTTGGGTATCTACCCAGCTGTCGATCCTCTTGATTCCACTTCACGTATTATGGATCCCAACATTATTGGTCAAGAACATTACAACGTTGCTCGTGGCGTACAAAAGATTTTGCAAGATTATAAATCACTTCAAGATATCATTGCCATTTTGGGTATGGATGAATTGTCTGAAGAAGATAAATTGACCGTAGCACGCGCACGTAAGATCCAGCGTTTCTTGTCACAACCTTTCCAGGTTGCTGAAGTCTTCACCGGTCATGCCGGCAAACTTGTGCCCTTGGAACAAACAATTAAAGGCTTCACACAAATTCTCGGCGGCGAGTACGATCATTTGCCAGAAGTCGCCTTCTACATGGTAGGACCTATTGAGGAAGTAGTAGAGAAAGCAGAACGCTTGGCTAAGGAAGCAGCTTAAATGTGTAGCGGCCCGATGTCAGATCAAGTTCTGAGCCACCACGTAATATGTTAAGCTACAGCAGTGTTAATCGAACTACATAACTAACTACCCTGGTATATAATCAATTTAATATGTGAATTCATTTTGAATCAAAAAGAATAAAACTAAATAAATCCAAAACTTTAAAAGTTGCTTTGTTAATATTTATTTCTTAGTGGTTACGTAACCTTCGCAGTGCATTGGACAAAATACATTTCGTTTGTTAGATAACAACATATATAAAAATGGATAAGTTTTGCTGAAAACAAAATTAAATAATTGGATTAAGGCTAAGGAAGAATAAATAACTTCGCTTTATCATTTTTTAGCCTTAAATTCACTTTTTATTACATAACCTTAAAAATTTGTGAAAAAGTGAAAAATATAAAAAGAACTCGCTTTTAGTTTTTAATAATAATATATCAGAGGGAATGTGTTAGCAAGTGATGTACTCCTACAATTGCGTAAACTGAAATGAAGCTCCATTAGTTTCGCCACATTTTTACCAACGAAATTTAAAATCCACCTACACTTTCGATTATTACGTATGAAGTTTAGGGTTTCTTCAAATTCATCTTCTAGGTATAAGCTATTAGATTCTTTTAGATCTCCAAATACATTGATAACTTGTTACATTAAATGGACGTTTGAATATATATATATATTACAACGTCATTACTCAACTCATTCATTTAATTGGTTATCCTATATTCTCAATAAAAAATGTATGTGAATTTCTCGCTAAGGTGAGTTGATCCAATAACCCAACATTATCAACTTTTATGTAATATGTCTCGAACTTGTAAAATAAAATTCTATATATATATATATATATATTTGTAGATAAGCTTTTTGACAAGCATTTATAAATATCAAATATTTAGAAGTTTTGAACAACTTATTATTTAATAACAAATTATTAATCTGTATTTATTATTTCTAGAAATATAAAAAAATCCATTAGGACTATGAGTTTACATCGATTCACGCGTACGTATACTTGTAGTTTAACCGTATTCAGATTGTATAGTGAGGGCAAATTGGCCTTTCGGTATAGAAGTGCCGTGATACCAGATTCTAGTGTCTACCAATACTGAAAAAACCAGAATTAATATTAAATTTGTAATTAACAAGCCTATCGATCTACCTGCATCACCGGGTTCCACATAAAACGAGAAGGATTGACAAATATGATCACATTCTGGAGTTGGAGCTAATATCCAACTTTTGTTTCCCTGCAGCTGTGCCTGCCACATTAACCTAGGTATGTAGTCTAACTGAAAAATTAATTTACAAAATGTGGGAACCCATAAAAACTATTTAAAGAATGACTAATTACGTGCATGAATGCGCCTTGTTCATAGCCTAAGAAAATATAATCAGTATTTGGCATTTCTGCATCAGCTGGTAGAAAATGAGGACGAGGATAGAGTTTGCGTAATTCCCCCAACACAACTGGATGACAATTACTCCAACCAACATACCAAGTCTCATCTCCTTCCCTTAAGTTAGCTCGCTCGGGTGGCATATTTAAAACATCTCGAAGATTTTTAAAATCTGAGCGGAAATGCAAAAATTGGCAATCTTCATCTAAAGCACCTGGTATACTTTCATACAAGTTCTTTATAAAAGTAAAGTTTAACAACTTCGTCGCCGGCCAGTGTGTCACAGCGTTTTTTATAATAATTGGTTGCGATGAATAAGCTAAAGGTTCAAATTCGTCTCGAGTTAAATTTTTCAATATCAGTGGTCCATTAACTCCTCTGAAAAAGCAGATTTTATTTTCGTTGTAAATTGATGAGAAAAGAAAACTTACTTGCAGAATTCACAATCACTTATTGGTCTTGTTGCTTCTCTGATAACTAAATAATTGTTTGGTAAAAAGCAACGCACACTCAGCAGAAAAGTAATTATTTCGTAAAAGAGTGGGGTCGCCACCATTATAAAAGCCATAATTCCCAAGCCATACCAAATATTAGTTAGATTTGGGTTTTGTTCTATTTCGCGAGATTTACGATATGCTTCCTGCAAATCTGCAGTTGTTACCAAACCAGTACGTATTGCTCCATCATGCAAAGCATCTAACTGAAAAATAAATTTAGTTTTATTATACTTCTAGTTAGAGATTTGTTATCATCTTGTCATAAATTTTCATACTTTCTCAATGAATTTTTTGCCAAGCAGATTTTGAGTTCGCTGAGATGTTCTAGCAGGTGCATTATTATCTGTCCGGTTCCAAAACTAGCAAAAAATGTTGTTAAAATACTTGTAATATACAACAGATTTCTCTAATACCAAAAACATAATCCTTTTTTTATTTAGTCTCTATTCATAATGTAAATCTTAAATATTCTACGGTACTCCTTTGTTTTTTATTTAGTTAATATAATAATATTATTGTTTTTGTCCACTTAAATCTTTTTGACAGCTGTCAATTTGCGCTCAGTGAGTTAGTGTATCGCAAAAGTACTTTTTGAAGTACTTCACAATATCTTGCATTCAATACGAACGCAATATGTGATGTAAAGCGAAGTAATTACAAGTAATGAACATTTTTCATTTAGATTGTTCAATTTATTGAGGTCCACAAATGTAATACGGAACATGGAATACGCATGTTAATTTTACACATAAACAAATTGGTCTTCATATTTTCACTTGCTGCCTTGACAACTTAACTCTCAAAATTAAAATGTAAGCAGTTAACCATATTAAGAACTGAAACGTGAACATGCTATATTGTCATACAATAAATATAAGTATTGCAATTAACCAAACTAGATGTTAACCCATTTTTGTTATAGTACATTTACACTGTCTCATTTAGGCTCCTGCTCATATATATTAATGAGTGAACGTTCTCTAAAGTGAAATAATGACCTCATTTATGCAACTGATAACACTTTTATATACTTCACACAAAAAAAGTTAGTATATAGTTTACATATTAAATCATTTTTGTACATTTTATATATCAATTACATATTCAATTAATAAAAACATTTTATTAATTGATATATTTTATATATTAAGATTTTATTAAATATTAACTTCTTCAGTGCCTATGCTTACAATTCAGCTGTTTGTTACATTACACAAATAAAACATATAATACCTATTTCAAATTTTGGTAATTTCTTTTAGGAATTTCCCTTGTAGCAAATTTATTTTTAAACGCTGCATTCGACATTTTTCACCCTAAAAAGCTCATTTATTGATAATGAGCTCATTTATATGAAAGTTGTTTGTATGGTAAATCATCTTTATTAGTCGCTATAATGAGCAAAATCGCCTAAATGAGACAGTGTGAATGTGCTGTCAAGCCAGCAATTTTGATTATTTGCAATTAATGATATATCAAATTTTTTTATTTTGTGTATATTCTGGAAATTCATTACAATTTGTTTTAAAAATAATTTTCTTGAAAAAGTGAAAAATGAATAGGAATTATATATAATTGATTTGTAATGAGTTATTCAAACTATTATTAATTAAAAAAATAATAGTATTGAAATTTAACAACTAAAAATAAAAATATAAATAATTAATTCAATTAATCTACAACTGGTTTATGATTTCGTTCTAATATAACAATGTATTATATATTTTTAGCAAAAGTGAAACACACGGTCCGATGTATTTTTAACATGTTCTTTACTTCGCTTTATTAACTATACTAAAAATGAATAATGAATAATAATTACAAAAGGAATATAGAATAATGACAGGCCAGAGTTGCCAGGCAATTAATATTTAAAAAGTACTTTACATAACAACACCCCCTCTTAAAGTGCTTTTATTATGTATAAAATATGACTTTAATATTTCATTCCTAATTTCCGTAAGCAATTAACATGCTTTTCTGTAGTGAGTCCTTTGGTAAGGACGTCTGCGGGCATTTCTTCTGTTGGCATATATTTGATTTTAACAGTGCCGTCGTTAACCTTGCTGCGAATAAAGTGATAACGAATATCAATGTGCTTTGTCCGTGGATGATACCTGAAGCTTTCCGTTAATTTTTGAGCGCTTTGATTATCATTAAAGATTTCAATTGTCTTACTTGTAATGCCAACATCATCAAGGATTGCCTTTAGATATAACGCTTCTTTTGTGGCCTCAGATATGGCCATATATTCTGATTCAGTGCTTGAAAGCGCTACTGTACGTTGCTTTCGAGCTTCCCAACATATCGCTGCTCCTGATATAATGAACGCATACCCTGAATATGAACGTCTATCGTTTAAGTCAGCGCCCCAATCAGCGTCAACCAAACCATACAATTCTTCATTGTTTTTCTCATACAATAGACCATAGTTGCTTGTACCTTTAAGGTATCTTAGAATTCGTTTTGCTGCTTTCCAATGTTCCACGTTATAATTTGAATTGAACTGGCTAAGAAAGTTTACAGCAAACGCAATATCAGGTCGAGTTGTAACAGCTAAGTACATTAATGCTCCTATCAAGCTTTGATAGGGATACATCTTCATAACACCTTCATCAATTTTTGTTGGTTTCGTTAACTTAATGTTCAATTCTATGGGAGTCTTCACTGGTTTACAGTCTTTCATATTGAACTTTTCAATGATGCTTTTTGCATACTTCTCTTGTGAAAGAAAAACTTGATGCTTGCTTAAATTTTGATGAAACTCGATGCCAAGACAATTACTTACTATTCCCAAATCCTTCATTTCGAAATCATTCGCAAGTGCAGCCTTTATTTCTTTTATACGAAACTTATTATTGGACGCTATTAGTAAATCATCTACATATATTGTCATCAAAACAATGTCGTTGCCTTCACGCTTAGTGAATACACAAGGATCCTGTTGTACTGCACTTAGACCCATATTCTGTAGTTTCTTTGTCAATTTCATGTACCATGATAGCCCAGACTGACGGAGTCCATAAAGAGCTTTCTTTAATAAACATACAGGTGACTTACTTGATTTAATCGCCTTTAACCAATGCTGCGCTGTTTCTTTAACTTTTCCACACAATATTGTTGAAGTTTTTCCCACTGGTTTTGATGAAACAACTTTGTTCAGGAATGGTATAAGATAATCGGGAATTTCCATGAAGACACTCTCTTCGAGCTCTCCATTTAGGTATGCTGTAATGACATCCATCTGATGGATCTCCAAATCCATTT